TGAAAAGGTCGAAAGAAAGGATCTTTGCTCAGTTGAAAGCCTCCTGCCGGACGGATTCCTTTTCTCACCTCAGCTTCTCCCGTTACTCAGTCTCCTGCGAAGTTCATCTTCTCCAGCCCGTCGCTTTTCTCTCCGTCGTTCCCAGACCTCTCCTTCTAGCTTTTCTTTCTACCCGTGACTCCCCTCCATCTCTTCTCACAGCTTTTTCCTCAGTTTTCTGGCTCTCCGCCGCCTCCCCTCTCTAGCCTCGCTCTGCAAACTCTCGGTTCTTGTTTCTCAGCTGCCAACCTAAAACCTCCGTAGCCTTTTTCTTTCTACAGCCGTCAACTGCCCCTTCCAACCTTGCTTTCTCTCGCTCTCTCTCTCGCTTCTCAGTTTTTCTTAGCCGTCCCACACCCGAAATCTCCCCTTGATGTTTTCTATATTCCGGATCCCCCTCTCCCCTTGCGGCTGTGGTTTCTCTTTCCTTTTATATGCAGCTAGCCAACCTTAAAACCCTCCATTCAATGGTTGTAGATCATCTTCACTTAAGCCTTCTTCTCTTGGCCCTTCGATTGGTAATCCGCGACTGTCCTTTGCAAGCTGCGTTTCCGCAGCTTGCATGTAAAACCTTTTTTTTTTTTTAATAATTTAACAAAAACAAAAGTAAAACTAAATAATAATAACTAATTAACAGAATTGACAAAAACCAAGTAATAATAATAATAATAACAATGAAAACAATTTAAAAAATCTAAACAACTAAAAACAACAAAAATGGCCATTTTTCAATCTTTTCTTTCATTTTTCATTTTTCACTTTTTTCTTTTTTTTTCTTTTTTTTCAAGAAAGCATTGAATTTAGATTACAAACGACTAAATCATATTTTTTTTAATGCTTTTCTTTTCTTTTTTTCCGTTTTTTCAACAAATTTTATGATAAAAACTTAAAAACTAAAAATAAAATAAAACTAAAAACTAAAAAATCGAATAAAACTAACACGACAAATAAAAAACTAAAAATAAACAGTAAATGAAATTACACCAAAAATTTGGTGTCTACAGATTTCTGTTTTGGACAAATTTGATTATTTTTGTTCATTTGGAAATGAAAATTTTGAATTGTTTTATGATTCAAAATTGGTTGGTTCTGGTTCTTTTATCAATTACAATAATCTATATTTAATTGATACGATTGTTTCATTTAATGAATCTCTGCATTTGAGTACTAGAGGAGTAAACAGAAAATTAGCTAATAAAAATTCAGTTGCATTATAGCACAAGAGATTGGGACATATCTCCAAACGGAGAATGGAAAGGGTTGTGTCAAATGAAATTCTCGACTCCTTGAATTTTATAGAATTTAATAATTGTATTAACTGTATAAAGGGGAAACAAACCAATAAAAAGAAATTTGAATCCAATAGGTCGTCAGACGTCTTAGAACTTATACATACAGATATTTGTGGACCATTTCCTACATCTGCTTGGAATGGTCAACAATATTTTATAACGTTCATAGACAATTTTTCAAGATATGGCTACATATATCTCATTTCAGAAAAGTCAGTCACTGGACGTGTTCAAAAAATTTAAGGCTGAACTTGAAAATCAACTCAACAAAAGAGTTAAAAGCGTCAAATCTGACCGTGGTAGTGAGTACTATGGTAGATATGATGGTTCAGGTGAACAACGACCAGGACCATTTGCTAAATACCTAGAGGAATACGGTATCGTCCCACAATACACTATGCCGGGTTCACCCACTATAAATGGTGTAGTTGAAAGACGAAATAGAACGCTTAAAGACATGGTAAGGAGTATGATATGTCATTCTACCTTACCAGAGTCACTCTGAGGAGAAGCACTTAAGACTGCAACATATATTCTTAACAAACCAACTAAATCAACTATCAAAACCCCTTATGAGTTTTGGACAAGGAAAAAACCTAGTTTAAAGCATTTACATATTTGGGGATGTCCACCTGAGACAAAGCCTTATAGGTCAAATGAAAAGAAACTGGATTCAAGAACGATTAGTTGTTATTTTATTGGATACGCTGAAAGATCCAGAGGTTACAAGTTCTATGATCCCACAACTAAATCAATTTTTGAGACAGAAAATGCCGGTTTTTTGAGGATGTCGAGTTTGGGGGAGAAAATACAGTAAGGAATATTGTCTTTAAAGATAAATATGTTAATATTTTCACAGGTGTCATTGATCTTGTTCAGGATCCTATTCCTGAGCAAAATCATGACATAACAAATCAAGACAGTGTCGAAGAACAAACTGTTATAGAAGAATAAATTCTCTCTCTCCAAGAAACGGTGCCATTAAGAAGATCCACTAGAGAAAGGAGAAGTGCAGTGTCAGATGATTACATTATTTTTCTCCAAGAACATGAGGATGACTCTGGATTGATGGAAGATGATCCAATCAACTTTCGCCTAGCCATAGAAAGTTCAAATTCTCAAAAATAGATCGATGCCATGTATGAGGAGATTAAATCCATGAAGGACAATAATGTTTGGGATCTTATCCCATTTCCAGAAGGTGCGAAACTCATTGGTTATAAATGGATATTTAAAATCAAGAAAAATTCGAAAGACAATGTACAAAAATACAAAGCTCTTCTTATCGCTAAGGGATTTACACAAAAAAAAGGTATCAATTATAAAGAAACCTTTTCTCCGGTCTCTTCAAAGGACTCTTTTAGAATTATCGTGGCACTAGTAGTGCATTTCGATCTTAAGTTATATCAGATGAATATAAACACAGCGTTTCTCAATGGTAACATTGATGAGACGATTTATATGTTGCAGCCAGAAAACTTTGTATCAGGAGATCCAAAGAATATGGTTTGCAAACTTAAAAATCCATCTATGTGCTCAAACAAGCGTCTCGACAATGGTATTTCAAATTTCATCAAGTGATCATCTCATTTGATTTTGAGATGAATTTAGTAGATGATTGTATATACCATAAGTTATATGGGAGCAAGTATATTTTTCTGGTATTGTATATTGATGACATTCAGCAATGATATTGGTCTATTGCATGAAATCAAGAAATTTCTGACTTAAAATTTTGAGATGAAAGATCTTAGTGATACATCTTTTGTGCTAAACATACAAATACACTAAGATCGATTTCAGGGTATTTTAGAACTATCACAAAAGGGCTATATCGAAAAGATTCTCAAAAGGTATGGCATGCAAAATTGTAAATCAGGTGACACTCCCGTGACTAAAGGAGACAAATTTAGTCTTGAGCAATGTCCTAAGAATGCTTTTGAGGAAAAAGAGATGCAAAAGATTCCTTATGCGTCAGTAGTAGGGAGTCTAATGTATGCTCAACTATGTACGCGTCTGGATATTGCGTACATTACTGGAATATTGGGTAGATATTTAAGCAATCCAGGATTAGATCATTGAAAAGCAATCAAACGGGTCTTACAGTATTTACAGAAAATAAAAGATCACATGCTCATATATCGGAAGTCAGATGAGTTAGAGATCATTGGCTATACTGATTCCGATTATGTTGGATGTCAAGATACCATGAAGTCAACGTCAGACTATATCTACTTGTTGGCTGAAGTGCCATATCCTGGAAGAGTGCTAAACAGTCTATGATAGCATCTTCTACTATGGCTGCAGAGTTTATAACTTGTTATGAGGCATCCAATTAAGGAATTTGGCTGTAAAATTTCGTCACAGGATTACGTGTAGTGGATAGTATTGAAAGACCACTCAAATTATTTTGTGACAATAAGTCAGCAGTCCTATATTCCAATAATAATAGGAGTTCGACGAAATCTAAACATATAGATATCAAGTTCCTGCCTGTTAAAGAAAGAGTACAGAGTTGACAGTTATCGATAGAGCATATCGAGACAAACTCCATGATTGCGGATCCACTTACTAAGAGATTGCCACCAAAAATGTTTCATGAGCATACTGCTCATATGGGTGTCGTGTTATTAAATGATGTACAGTTTTAGTGGGAGTTTATTATTTCAAATGTTCATAGATATTTTTCGGTTATTAAGGATTTAAGAATATTTTATGCATAAATAAAGTTTGGATTTATTTACACTCTGACTTTGGTATGGATTGATCTCATGAAAATTTATGGTAGACCAGTTGGAAATAGGCATGTTTTGATTACATTACATGAAATTTTCATGCTACACATCCACATCATGATTCATATCATTCAATTGCATCGATATATGTGACCATTGATGGGTCGAGTTACGAAATTGTAACAAATGCCGCTTTGATCCCTATATTGGTGTGATTGATGGACCGAATTGACTACAGATACATTTTAGTTATGACAGTACAGTTGAGCTCATACGGTTAATTACAAAACATAATTATAAAATTACACATATAGTCCAAGTGGAAGATTGTTGGATCCTTAATCCAACGTTGGACTTATATGTAAATAATTATGGGTTGTAGACTGTCAAATAAGGTTAAGTCTAATTAAAGTGATCAAATATGCTTTGGACTTCATGTATCGAATAGAATATGGGTCTTTAATGTATAGAGATTTAAGGACCCCTATTTCTATGATGGGTTGAAATAGGGTTCCAAAAGGTAACAGGAATGTTACCTATAAATAGGATTATGGTCCCCAGGTCACACGTATTATTCTTTTGTCGTATTTTCTAGTACCACAAAATATAGATCTTTCCTGATATCCCATTGTCAGGAAAGATACCAGAGAGATACTAAAGGACTCTTTCAAGGATCGGCGAATATGTGTTGACTTGGAAGGCCACTCCAATACCTTTGGAGATTCATATATCAGTTTGTCGATATGAATCCAGGTACGCTTTCACAATTTTTCCTGTTACTTTATTTCTTAATAATCGCCATATTGATTTTGGGTTTAATAGGTGATAGATTTCATCAAAAGTTAATATGAATTGCCACCCTAACAAGATGCAGTAGCAGAAATAGTTGGGCTACTTACGATCAAGCCAGCTAAAGATTCTCTCTATTGTGGGCATGCCAGGACGTAAGACTACTTTGGCCAATGCTATATATAAGCATCTTTCAATTGATACATGCTTTGGGGTTCGTGCATGGGGTAACTTATCCCAAGTTTACCAGAAAGAGACCTTGTTGTACAGTATATTAGATCAAGTGCATGCCAATCCAAGCCACGACATCAGTGGAAAAGATGTTGGTCATAGGCTTTACCAAAGTTTAAAGCGTAGAAGGTACCTAATCATGTTAGATAATATATGGGATACAGAGACCTGGAATGGTTTACGTTCAATTTTTCCTGATGACGAGAATGGGAGTAGAATTTTATTTACTACTCGAAGCCATGGCGTTGCAACACAAGCCAACAATTTTCCTTATGCTTTTCATCTACTCTCCAACAAAGAGAGCTGTGAATTGCTATGGCTAAAGCTATTTAATGGAGAAACTTGTCCTCGGGAATTGTCAAGTATCTCAAAGCGCATTGCCTGCAGTTGTAAAAGGCTACGACTTGCAATGGTTCTGATAGCGGGAGCTCTGAACAGGACAAAGAAAGAAAAAGATTCTTGGGAAAAGGTTGCTAGAACCTTCATCAGGTCGCAAAGCATACAGGAACAAATCTGGGACATCTTAGAAGGAAGCTACAAGCTTTTACCAGATCACTTGAATCCATGCTTTTGGTACTTAGGAACATTTCCAGAGGGCACAACAATTTTTGTATCCAAACTGATAAGGTTGTGGATTCCTGAAGGATATATACATCAGCCAAATTCGGGCCAGAAGAGCTTAATTCAGGAGGCAGAGAGTTGCTTGAATGATCTAATTGATAGAAGCCTCGTACTGGTTACCAGATAAAGTTCCAAAGGAGTCAAAGAATGTCGTGTTCATGATGTGCTATGAGAATTTTGCTCAGCAATACTCAAGCAAGAAAGATATGAAATGCAAGAACACATATTTCCCGGTGGAATTTCAGTTCTTTATGGTGATTTTGGAAGGCCTGAGCAGAATCTTTTGAGCATTTTTCCTACAACCAAGGAGCCAAAGATAATTTTTTTGATGTACTAGATATGACCGATATAGAAAAAGAATCTAGAGATAGAGAGGATCTGCTTAAACAGAAGGAGTTGAGGGATTTGCCTCCTCAAATTAGAGATGGTACTCTCTCTGAACAGGCCATATTCTTTGATTTGAATACTCTCAGTAGAAGTCTTCTCGGTGAACAGGTGCCTAACCAATATAGACGATTACATTATGGTTTTGTTCTAAAGTATAAATACCTCATGGTGTTGGATTTGGCAAATGTTCTATTCCAAAATAGCACCGACACTTCTGATCTTGTCAATATAGCTAATTTGGCTTATCTAAGGTGGTATTTAGCTGTTAGAATCCGAACAACCGAAATCCCCTCAGAAATAGGCAATCTCTGAAACTTGGAAACTTTTCATCTCAGTGGAGCAACTGGTAGAGTCACGTTACTTGGAAATTGGTATGCTTGCGGGATGTTATAATGGATCATTGTTTCTTCAGTTTCCAACACTACAGTCAAGAATTTTTGAGGACTCTTTCCAACTGGATAACTTAAAATCACTCTCCACAATTTATATGCGGCATGGAAATGTTGAGAAATTGATAAGGATGCTACCTAGTGGTCATAAGCTAAGACGCATATTTTCGAATTCTTGGCAAGGATGTTGTTAAGCCAGCAATCTCTTTAAAATATTGGAGTGCTTGTGTGAGCTTCAATCACTCAAGATGTCCTTCCATGTTATGACACATATCCTTTTAAGTTATACTTTCTCTTCAAATCTGAAAAAGTTGACAATATCAAATGCTCACCTACCATGGGATGAAATTTCAGTCATCGGTCAACAACCCAACCTTGAGGTTTCTGAAATTATCAGCAAAGCACTTGAGGGCCAGCAATAAGACATGAGAGAAGGTGAATTCCAGAAACTGAAGTTCTTGAAACTGGACTCTCTGGATATAAGTTCTTGAAACTGGACTCTCTGGATATTGTACAATGGAGTGCCTCTGGCGAGCACCTGCCCTACCTTGAGCAACTCGTGGTGCTAAGCTGTCAGCAACTTGAGGAGATCCCTTCTTGTTTTGGGGAAATTTCAACTCTATAGTTGATTGAGTTGAAATGGTGCAGTGCTTCAGCCAAGGATTCTGTCAAGCAAATTCTAGATGACCAGCGTGATTACGGCAATCATCAGCTCAATGTCACTGCTGTTGGCTCCCAAGGTGGTTTCCCATTACCTTCGTGGTTGATGCAGATAGCATACACTCTCACGTGTACTTTTGCTTTGCTTCTTGTAACGTCTTTCCTGGTTGAAAGATGTATATGTGCCTCTTTACTGAACTAACTTTGTTTATCACTAGTATAGTCCACGTGCTTTGCACGTGATTGTAATATCTTAAAATATATTATTTTTCAGTTACTAAAAATTTTTTATGAAAATTTGATCATCAATATCATAATATAGTATTTTTATGTTATTTATTTTTTTTAAGCTAGTTACTTTAGGATTCCAATGTAGTTTTTAAAAACAGCTACATTCCAATGTAGGATTCCAAACAAAGCATATCCCAAAAACAGCTAATGAGTTTTTATTAAATGAAAAGAGACAGAAAACATTCCAATGTAGTTGACATATCCCTTAGGATTGAATTTGAAATCATGAACGAAACACTTTTTGATTTATAGCTTGAACTCTAATATATCAAATATTGATAATATCATGTTTTACCAAAATTATTGTATATTCATGACTCTATTGCATATAAACCACAATCATCACAATTTTTTATAAATGAAGAATATAATTAAGTTACAAAAATAAACATACATGTAATTTGAATTCTTTGTATTATGTTAATTCTATTTTTATCAATAATAAAGTATAAATGATCCACCACGTAAAGTTTTTTTTTACTTATACATTCTAACAATTGAAATTTTATAGATAGATATAGTTGAAAATTTTCTATTTTTCTTTTCTTTTAGTCATGTTTTTAGCACAATCCAATATGAAACAAGAGCAACAAGTCTACTTTTTTCATATGAGGACAATATTTTTGGCTTTAATATTAGTTTTTTTGATGATCATGAAATTGGAATGAGAATTGTGGCTAATTAATAATTTGAATATTAAATATATATATATATATATATATATAATAAAGTCGTATTCTCATTCTTATCCCTTCATGTTTTCTCTTTCCAATATGGCTTAACGAGACGACAAGTAGTTTCCTACATGGATTGCTCCTTTTTTGTTTAGATATATATCAATTCTTATTTCTTATAAGAATTCTTAATAGTATATGATTCTTATTTTCTACCCAAAAAAGGAACTGAAAAGTAATGCGACATAAATAAAAGAGACATAAATATCTTTATTAGATATATCTCCAAATTCATGCCAATAATTTCTGCACTGCATAGGGAACCGAAGTAAATAATAATTGTTATCACTACAAGAAGTAGAAACATAACTAATTTCAAAAGGAACCATTAATAACAGAAGTCAATGTCTAATGTTGGAAATAGGATTCTTAATAAATTTTGTTATTAAGTGCATTATCAAGACATAGTGCATAACACGAAATTAATGAAAAAGAAAAAGTTAATTGAATCTAATTAACTATATGTATTTAACCCGTACGGTCAAATATAAATTCCTATTTGAGCACGGGTTTGTAAATTCCTATAAACCTGTTCGTTATTAATCAAAACATGTAGGTTATACTCATTGTTAGGTTATAGGATTCACAATAAATCTCTACTCAGATGGTGGGGAGTATTTAGTGTGTGGACCCACACCATAGTACTCCATGCACTTAAAGGACTCGAAATAGTTGAGGTGGTCTTGCAAGGTAGGCAAAATCTGTCTTGAGAATGCACTTTTATTTCCTATAAGATTCTTAATGTTATAAGATTCTTATTTCCTACCCAAAGTTACGTACTTTAAACAACTTAAATTAAGATAAACCTACTTTTAATGTTCTTATCAATATCTCTTTATATTCTTATCAAGATAACCGCTTGCTTAAAAAATATGTATTAAAATGTATTAAAGATAAATATTTTTAATACATATTTTTAAGACATCTTCTTTTGAAAATAATATTAAAGATAAATATATGCATGAACGGGTAACAGGAGGTACACACAAATCAAAAGGCATATATATCACACGTTAACAATCAGTCAGATACAAGTAAAAAGGAAATTCTATGAAAGTATCAGGGTCATCAAAAGTCCTATATACCAACTATGCCACAGGTACAAAAGCAACTAACGAAAAACTTTTCCCCTATAGGGTTCCGTCCATACTCTACGAGAATAACACAATTTATATCTTAATCAAGGTTAATCATACTTAACAACATCCGAACAAATCACACGAAATTTCATAGAATCACATTTTTAGTTCGTCCAAATCCTTTCTAACCTAGGCTCTCATCTCTTTAGTATCCGGGTACAAGAATTCCAAATAAGATAATTTACAACTCGAGCCGACCGGTTCTAAGAGTAAATCATCCATATTAAAGATTTTTACCCGACATACATATCTATTGTCTGCAAGTACCATAGGAAAGGTTTCAAACCTATAACATGTCATGATCCATAACTTATGCTCGAAAGAGCACTTAGACCTTTAGACCCATTCACGAAATCAGGACCATAACACCACTTGGCCCAAACTTACTCCATGCGGAGACCATGCGAAACGGCTCTAATACCACCTGTGACAGCTCCACCTCATCCTAAGGCAAACCAAAGAGTTCGGCGGACCGCCTGCCAAACTCTCGCCAGGACTACGGAGTCAAATCAATAAATCTTTGTACAAAGCATGATAGGACCCAAAGAAAACGAACAAACGGAGACTACTAAGGTGCGAACATACTTACCAAATGATAAAATCATAATCTCAAATGAATACACTTCATAGACAAGGTTAAACACTTATACATATATGTACATCAGAATTATACTAGCTCGACCCTATCTTCCAAAATCAAGGATTCAAAGGTTGCCCCTGAAAGGAAAACAAAGATAACGGGAAGGGGGTGAGTTTACGCTCAATGAGATACCAAAATAATAGCAGTCAAGAATCATGGAATTTCATGTTCACTTAGTCACATGTGCATATCACATTGAGAAATGAACAAACATCTTAGATAGAAAGGATACAGGTGACTCTCAGGAGCCAAAATTTCCATTGTCGTATTTGAACTAAACTCGTTGACTCTCCGTCAACATATAAAGAACAACCGTGTCCGTAGACCCCACTTTATACCAAATTCCGTCCACCAAACATACCCCTTACCGGACCCGAACATCTCAACAGAAATAGAAGTAGTAATACTCGAGTATATCAGAATCAAGAGTCTCAATACCCAAAGATTTCTAGAAACAGACTACCATGGTTTGTTATCTAATCGACCAGACCCTTGCCGACTCGACTCGAGTAACTAGCCACAAGTTTTGAGCTCAGAGGTCGCAGACTTATACAGAGAACAGATACAGGTAACAGATATAGAGAGTAAATACAGACATATATAGTATGTAAGAAACAAGTAAACAGACGAGAGAAACGAGAGCGATTAAATACACCCTCGTTTCATACAGAGTATACAGAAGTCACGGATAGCCAGATAAGCAACAAATTAGGGAAGTGGTACACTCACAAGTTCCAGTACAGATACTTCAAAAGTTTTTACCCAAAGTGGCTTTAATCGCCAAGAAATCCTAAAATAACCAAGATAAAACAATTATAGTTCACACATCCACAAACCCAGTAAATGGAATGCATCAATGAGGCTCGACTACAAGTCGTATGCCTTCC